AACATCAGATTCCATGGAATTGTTCATGTCTCCTGATTACATTGACCGCATGCTGGATTCCTATGGCATGACCAAGAGCAAGCCGGCTCAGACGCCAGGAGGAGATTCATTGCGGAAGTTGCTTGACAACGAATTGTTGAATTCGCAAGAGCATAAATTGTATAGGAGATTGGTTGGACAATTGTTGTGGCTTGCAGCATTGCGTGTTGACATCATGTATGCTGTTAAGGAGTTGTCACGAGGATTGGTTGCTCCCACTGAGGTGCACAAGATTAAGTTGAAGACATTGTTGAGGTACCTGAGTGGAACCAAGGATTATGTCCATGTTATGAGACCTGATTTCCGGATTGGAAGACAGGTGAAATCATTGGACATAAAGGTCTATGTGGACAGCGATTGGGCAGGTTGCACCGATTCCAGGAGGTCCACATCAGGAGTAGCATTGAACATTCTCGGCATCAACATTTCAGCACACAGCAGAACACAGGCCACCATTGCCTTGTCAAGTGGGGAAGCCGAACTTTATGCTATTGGAAGTGGTGCGGCCGAGGCCCTATTCATTAAATCTTTGATTCTGGAAACCCTTGTGGCTCCCAAGGTGAACATCATTCTGTTTACCGATTCAACTGCAGGCAAGAGCATGGCTGTCAGATTTGGGGCATCCCGGAAAACCAAACATGTCCAATTGCGATTTCTGTTTGTCCAGGAGCTGGTTTCCTCTGGGACCCTGGTGATTAAGAAGATTCCGGGAACCCTCAACCCATCTGACATTTTAACCAAGTATGTTGCCAAGGCAATTTTGCAGAGGCATAACATCACATTAGGGATTTGCCCTTCAGGTAGTAGATAGTCAACATGATTCTGTTTCACTTAGTCAGTAGTCAAGACATTTTGCCACGAGTGAATTCGAAGCCATTTCATGCATGACTGCAACATTTGTTTTGCTCAACATTCTGACTGACATTTCGGTGTGCATTTACTTCGACCGATGCGATGGACAGCCCGCATTCCGGAATTTGACGCGACAGTATTTCCACCGGATTCTCGCAAGAGATTTGAAGATGGAGCGCACGAATTTTTCGGAATACAAGGCATTCATTACGGCCACGATGTTGTGGCAGATTCTATTCAGCGGCCAGCAACAGGAACAATTTGGGTTCCAGGATTTTATTTTCATGAACCGATTCGCGGACGATGCCTGGAGTGCGCAGATTCTGATCAGGATCATTCCAAACATTGCGGCTGGGAGTATGTCCTATACTCCATTTGAGAGGCATTTGTGGCTACAATTTCCACCAAGGGTGGAGAGATTGATTCCATTCAACCCCAATTGGAATTTGCAACATTTGAACTTTTGCATGTTGCCATTCATGCTGTATTTCACCATGCCTTCAGCAATGTGGAACCATTTGAAGAGGATTTTTGAGGGCCGTGCCAGTAACATTCCTGAGGCTATGAAGGGAACATTTGCAATTCTTGCTTCACATTGTTTCTGGAACAGTCAGTTTACTGGATTCCATTTGAGCCCGCGTTCGTCTTTGCTATTCTTTCTGTATTCATTCAGCTATGAGCGATCATTTGCACCAGAGGGTGATGCAAAGAACAGATTGATTCAGTATTTGGCGGACACACCAGTGGTGATTGGATTCAGGCCACATTCGCAGCGATTTCTTGATTTCATGAGGCATTCATTTACTCACGTATTTGTGAGGTCTCACATTGACCCCATCATTCACTTCAAGGATTACATTTGGGATTCAAGAGACAGCTTGGCGATGCAGGAGATTTGCTCCATGGCCGGATTCAATATCAAGGCCCAGATTGGGGAATTGATGCTCGCTGCCAATTCATTGCAGCAAAGCAATTCCCATTGGTACCGGGATTACCACATGTTCATTCCCAAGACCTGGAAGACTTCATTGGACAAATTCATGGGCGACTACCAGGAGATTCCCAAGTCACTGGTAGATTCATATTACAGAGCGAAGCTGTGATTCAGCATTGGTGGAGCTGGGATTTCGATTCTGGCCAGGCACCGATTTGGATGCATTTATTCCACACTGGATTTGCATTGAGATTCTATGTTCATTGGATATCGCGATTTTGCCTGGTTCGATTTGCCACTTCATTTGTGATTCAGTTTCGGCATTTGTGTGGAGGTACAGTTACAACATTACTGTAGATGACAGTTTACTTTTGGTTTGGATTCATCTATGACACCAATACATTGAGAGGACGTTTTCTGGTGATTCTGGAGGCGATACTCTTGGAACACATTCTGTCTGTGATTCGAGTCCACAATACATTCAACCACTTGTCCTTGTGCATTTCCCAGCATTGCAATTCTTTTGGTGATGATTAGGTCACCCGTTTTGCATAGACATTTTGCAGAGAGAAAAGATTTCAAGGCAGCTTGGCATTCTTTGGAATGCATTTGTGCTAGTGGAGTGTGGATTAATTCCACATTTTCCATTAATCCAAGGGGGCGTGCGAAAGTACACCATGCATTCCCACTTGGATGTAATTCATACTGATTACCATTGCATGGCTCAAGGATGACAAAGGTGCATTTGCTGCCTTGGTTGATTAGCAGAGATTAGTCTCTGATTTTCCCAGGTTGGTTGGTTGGTTGGTTGGTTGGATTGCTTGCTTGCTTGCTCGCTCGCTCGCTGGCTGGCTGGCTTGCTTGCTTGCTTGCCTGTTTGCCTGCTTGCCATTTCGCCTGTTTGCCTGTTAGTTTGTTTGTTTGCTTGCTTGCTTGTTTGTGTGTGGGTGCGTCTGTTTGCTGGCTTGCTTGCTTGCTTGCCTGCGTGCGTGCGTGCGTGCTTGCTTGCTTGCCTGATTGTTTGAATCTTGGATTCTTTGATTCTTTGATTATTTGTGTGTGTGTGTTTCATTGTTTGTTTGTGGGGGGGGTGTTTGTTTGTTTGCTTGCTTCCTTGTTCTTACTTGTGTGTTTGTTAGTTAGTTAGTGAGATAGTTAGTTAGTTAGTTAGCTAGCTAGCTAGCTTGCTTGCTTGCTTGTCTGTCTGTCCGTCTGTCTGTCTGTCTGTCTGTCTGTCTGTCTGTCTCTTTCTTTCTTTCTTTCGTTCTTTCTTTCTTTATTTATTTCTTTCTTTGCTTGCTTGCTTGCTTGCTTGCGTGCTTGCTTGCTTGCTTGATGGCTTGCTTGCTTGCTTGCTTGCTTGCTTGCTTGCTTGCTTGTTTGCTTGTTTGCTTGCTTGTTTGCTTGTTTGCTTGTTTGTTTGTTTGCTTGTTTGTTTGTTTGTTTGTTGGTTGGTTGGTTGGTTGTTTGTTTTTCGTGTTTGCTTGTGTTTGCTTGTGTTTGGTTGTTTTTGTTTGTTTGTGTCTTTGTTTGCTTGTTTGTTTGTTTGTTTGTTTGTTTGGTTGATTGTTTAATTCTACTGTGTTGTGTTGTGTTGTGTTGTGTTGTGTTGTGTTGTGTTGTGCTGTGCTGTGTTGTGTTGTGTTGTGTTGTGTTGCTTGCTTGCTTGCTTGCTTGCTTGCTTGCTTGCTTGTTTGTTTGTTTGTTTTTGTTTGTGATGGTTTGATTTTGTTCATGTGTCTGTCTGTCTGTCTGTCCGTCTGTCTGTCCGTCTGCCTGTGTGTCTGTTTGTGTTTTTCTTTGTTGCTTTGTTTGCTTGTTTCTGTGTTTGCTTGCTTGCTTGTTTGCTTGTTTGCTTGTTTGCTTGTGTGTGTGACAGAGAGAGAGAGAGAGAGAAACAGAGAGTAGCACTCACATTTTTGTTACGAGTCACGTTGTCACATTTGTAGAAATCACAGACTGGCTTCGCAACTCCTGTCCCAGTTCAAACAGCGCATATCGCCTGATTTGGCTGGCTGGCCTTGGGCCATACGTCTGTTCACTTGGAAAACGATAAATGGCACAACGCAGCATAACAAAACTTCATCATGTGCGAGGTTGTTCGTCTGCTGGTGAGGTTGTTAATTACAAGCCCCTGCACATGAACTGACAAGCATCAGACATTCACCTGTACCAAACATAAGCGTTCAAGGTCGTGTGTGGAAACCATCACACGTCCACCGAACCACCCCGCCCAAATAATAAGCCCGCTTGCCGGGAAAAGCGACACGGAGGCACCACTCCAGCTGAAAGAAGAGGCGAAACCACTATAATGGCCATGAGCATGCCAAGTTTGATGCATTCATGATGTTTGTTACAACAACATATCCACATTGTCCAGCAAACATGGAAGTGGCAATTAAGAAAACTTGGATTGTTCAAGAGGGGTTACCAAAACCCACCTTCCACTTTCATGAATGGTGGAAAGAAACCAGCTACAGGAAATGATCCAGAAAATCAGCTTGTTTTTGGTGGGTGGTTGGCCCATTTCCTATAGCTGGCTCAGCTCCGATTAATGTTGGAAGAAGGACCTGGGTTTGTGCCAAAATAGGGGGAGCCCCTATTTCTGATGGTGTTCCTTTTGGCTTCGCTTTCAACCAACCCGAAAAGGGTACCGAGCCTTAAACAAGACCCAGCCCCAAATCAGGGTTGCTCCGAATCTGAAGATAACCAAACCAGGCAGGGCCAGTCTGCACCACTTTCTGCCAGTTTCTTGAAGCTTTTGTCCCAACTCATATCTCAGGTAGCCTCTTGCGGATTTGGATTGGTAGTGATTCGAACCTTTGCCTGTCAAGGGTCAATGGTGTTTCTCACCCCTTGACCACCGAACCACCAATCCTAACCAGGTGGAAGGAAGCTGAATATGTGTGTGGGTCGAAAATTAGGTACTCAAAATGGAACCTGGTAAATGGAAAGGACTAAAACCTGCATTCCCCTTGTGGTTTAACCTCCATTTGCTTAAGTCCCCTAAAAGAAACAAAGATGTTTCCAGCAGTGACTTTAAAGCCATCAGCTGCCTAGCTGAACATTGACAAAATCCTTTTCAGCAAATGGACGCTTGGAGGTTCTCGGAGCTTTCCAGAAAAGGATCCCCAAAAATGGCCCAAGTACAGCTGGAAACATGGCGATGTGGGATCTAGGGGTTTATCCTCCCTTCTGTGATGCTGTTGGGAATCCCCTCATTATATGGAGGGTTGTAGTCAATTCCCTTTCAACCACAGCCCTGCTCTGGATTGACACCTGCTTGAATGCATGAAACTGATGAAAGCCCGGTTAGATTTTTCTTTATTAAATGGAAGAAATACGGCAAATGGCCCACATGCCCATACCCACACCGCCCCGGCTTGCACCCCGAGCGAGGCTTCGGCCTCGGCCGCGCCCCTCCCAACTCCCGCCTGCTGCAGCTCCGCCTCCTCCCGCTTCTGGCGCAGCTCCTCCTCTGCAGCGCCTGCGGCACTCGAAGGGGTTTTTGCTTGGAGGGACGGGGGGAGGCAGGCGGGGGGGGGGGGGAGGGAAGGGCAAGTTCCGATTTTGCTGAGCATTGATCAGGTGCGAAAGTGACAATTGAACACTCCTCAATGTTACAAAATCAGGGGGAAAGGATGGGGGGAGGGGGGGGGGAATTGGCAGAGGTGTCATTTTGGGAAAATAGATGGGCATGGATGATGAAACCAATGTCTACCGGGACCCCTTCATTTCTGAACTCAACTGAACAAACAGGATGCCTATGGGCATTGGCTGGTGCCCCCACGTTGACCCTGAGGAACCTTTCCCATGTGGTGAACATCATCTTCTTTGGTGCCTCTAATGGTCACCCCGTAAAAAGGACCTGTTGATCAACCCCTCATTTTGGTTGCGCGTGGCGTTGTCCTATAAGATGGGCAACGAACGACAGTCCACACCTCGACTATGGATATGGTGGCTGCATAGAACGGGAAATGTCACCTGGATAGTTTAAGGGCGTCGGACCCAGGGAACATGTCTGGGGTCATTAGTCACCAGTATGGTATTTCCGACCAATGCCCGCAACCTGCTTGTCTTGAACGACACTCACGTGTCTTGGGTCAGTCTCCGTGCCTGGACAAAGGCGGTCCCAGACTTGCCACTCGTCCAACCCAGAGGCCATGGAGTTTTTCCTCCGGCGGAACAAAACGTGAAGCCTCTCTCTGTCGGTTAAGGGAACTCGGTTTCGTCACATGAATATGTCTCCCAAGATGGTTGGTTTTTCTTTAAATGACCAACGTGTCGAAGGTTGGACCATTTCCTATGATTAGTCCAACCCAGAGATACAGCTGAGTAATACGGGGGGTAGCACCCGAATAGCAACTATCAGTGCCTAGTTAGTGTACGGGGCCATTAAGAACTAAAGACGGCCATGACCTTCCGATGGCTCAACGGCTCTAAATCAATGGGTTGTTGCTCCAAGTTCCATCCTGGACCCCTTTGAATTCTCTCTTTCCCGTCTTCAAAACACCACAGTTAAGTTGGGGCCTGTTTCATCACGTCCAAATGCCCGCGTGAAGAACTGTGGTTCCCCAGATAAGATAAACATGTTGGACTCATGTCGAGCAACAGCCGGCGGTGAGTTGGTGGCAAACCTACATCAGCCAGCCGAAACCTAATTAATCTGATTGACAAGCATGGCATTTGTTCAGGAGTTGTCAGGTAAGGACACAAAACGGCAGGATGTGGTTGGTTGAAATTCAGACGTCCCATGGTGCCAAGAGAACAAGCAAGTCGCATCGCCTTGCTTCAGGCATTCAAGGACACTTAACGTACTGTTTGGCTTGATCAACTCAGGTGTAGATTCCGGTACTGTAATGTTGTGAAATTAATGCTCAGTTTGCCACCCTAAGATGAAAGGGTTTGAAGGAGAACTGCATGTCACCCGTGAAGCAGATGCATGTCTGTTTAGCAACAGGCTCAACAAGACAAAGGATGACGTTTTGGTCTCGACCCAAACCTGAGATCTCCTCCAGAAAAAGTGCTTATTTTGGGGTGGGACAGAGATGATTTTGTGTGTGTGTGTGTGTGTCTGTATACGTGTGTGTGCCCCAAATGGCCCACAAGCCGGCGTTGTCTCGAGGGCGTCAGTATCCCAGCATCCCAAACAACCGGGCCGGAACACAGGACCGCACAGGAAGTTCTGAGTTTGTGAGGTCTGTGGACAACTTTTGAACAGGGAGCGTCGAAAACCACAGAGCAAGAACGAGCAAACCTGTCCAACACCGCGCTACAAACGTCGCACTCTAAATGCCAACCTTTGGTTCCAAATAGTTGCGGGCGTGGAGTGCTTGAAAACCAATGTCAGTCATGATCACAGCAACATACTGTGGATAGACGAAATCCTAGAATGATGATTCCCCTGTAAATACCAACAAACAATGCTTCCCCATGGTTTCAAAAAGTTGCAGGAGTTCGTCCATCCACAGTATTGGTGATTTTTTCGCCCCTTAGATTTCGCCTGCCCCGCCCTTGCCAGCTGCCAGGCCACACCACTTCCGACACCAGCCCCGCATGTGGAGAATCTGGCTCGACGTCCGCGTCCACGCTCACCACCTGGACAGTCTATAGGAAGTTCGCCGAATTTAGCTACCCATCGAATGTGTTACCACTTGTTTTAGTTTGTCTCTTTTTGAAAAGTGCAAGGTAAGCGATGAACATGGACTCGCATACGCGTCAGGATGTAGTTTGTCTCTTTTTTGAGGGAACCCCTAAACCAAGTGATTTTCTTTGGTTCCCTGAATATAAACGCTAAACTAAGAGTGTTTTGCTTGGTTCCCTGCACTTTTATTCTAGCCGACCACAAAAGGGGTACCCTCAAAAATGACACATGACCATCCAAGCCCGGGGTTATGCTCAGGGCAAGCCCGGTTTGCCCGAAAAGAGAAGGGTGCCAAGCCTTGAAAGACCCCAAGTTCTGAGAGTTCTACAGGTGCCTGGCCGCCAACTTCCAGCGGAAATTCCTGCTGGCTTCTATGGATTCGTTGAAGACACACTCACTTGCGCAACATTAATTACATAACATCAATTTGCCCAAGCATTTACCTCTAGGGGCCAAAAAACAACAAAGAAACGCAGCAATCGCAGCAACTTGGCTGGTGTCCTGCCCAGTTTTCCACTTATGCTTGATTCCTGAAATATAACAGCGAAAGACTTCCTGCATTTCTGCTCAAATGATCCGGAGTCTTGTGGCGTGTGTTTCACTTGATACATTTAAGGACTTCGTTCCCCCAAATAAGGAAATTAAACATTAAACGGCCTGTCGCAGGCTTGCTGGCTTCGCAGCGTAGCCTTGAATCGGGTGCTCAGTGATGGACTCCTTTTGGTTGATATTTAAAAGGACGCCAAAAGGAAAGCAACAATTTTGAATCACCACTGTTTTGAGAAAATACAACCTATCCAGGAGGGCTGTGACTGTCGAAGGTGGCGGGCTAGACATGATGCAGGTGTATATATAGTATATATAATATGTACATATATATATATATGTTAACACAGTATATACAGTACACATGTAGATGGACAAGGCCACTCTACATTTATGTATCTGCATGGAGAACAATAAAACGTAGATATGCAAGTTTTGGGGTATGTAGTATACAATGCACACATCACACATGTTTGTACGTGAATTGTTAATCGGCACTGATGGGTGGGCATCATACTGTATGGTGGCTTGTGGCCGCTGCTCATATTTGGAGTTCTCCCCATTGAAGGAACAACGACTGTGGATGGACAAAGTCCATTTCGCAAACCCAACTACCAACTGCAGAAATGTGTCCTAGCTACCAATCCTCCCTTTGCTTGTTTGGGTTCGGGACCCACCAAAAATGGTGGGGACCAACCACCCGCCCACCCACCCAACCAACCAACCCACCAACCACGCACACCAGCCCTAGAAAACAAAGTCCCAAAATGGTCAAGCCCCAAGAGGGATTCCCTTAAGAACCATGTGGCCTTTTGGAAAAATAGATGGCCCTGGCGGATGGCCTAAAATCCATCCAAACCGGTGCCATCTTGTTTTAAGCAAACTAACCCAAAAAGGACACCTATTGTTCAGGACTTGCAGCCCCCCCCCCACTTCTGCTTTCTTAATTGGGACTAAACTACCCAGAAAGTCGGCTCCACCTGATATTGTCCCTATTGGAGGCTGATGACTTGGGGAAGCCATATGTTCATCTACTGCTAGGTTCAGTACTACGGCACTAAACTATCCCTAAACCACCCGAAAGCAACTACTAACCTCCCCCCCCCCATTAAACCCAGCTCAAACCATCAATTAAACCCACCCTAGAACCGCACTAACAGAAACCTTAAACCCGCCCCAAACCCCATACCAATCGTAAAACCCAGCCTAAACCAACATAAACCCACCTTAATCCAACTTTACATCCCCTACGTTTGCCGTGCCTCTCGGCAAAGGGTCGCATTGTGCTTCGCCATCCTTGGCAAAAAGCGCGCAAAAACGCCAACCACATGCGTACGATGCTCGAACACACACGAATTGATGTGTATATATATATATGTGTGTATGTATGTAAGGGATTAGAACTTACAGATATGCTCTACGAAAGGAAGCCACCGCAAAGACCAACTCAACCCAACCCCATAAGATCTCATCTAGGGCAACCTCTTCTCCTTGGACCCCGCGGAGGTATTGTAGCGACCGGCTTGCCAGCTCAGCCATCAAAACAGCTGCAAATGAGAGCCAAACAACCAGCCAACTGAAACCCAGCAAGCAGCATCCCGCCCCCATCCCATTCTGGCAACAATGGGGGTTCATCAAAAGGTCCTTTTGGGGATGACCATTGGGGAAAAGCACTAAACAGACGATATTTACCATTGAATGGGAAAAGTTACCCATGGTCATTTGCGGCCAGGAATATTGATCAACCCCCATGTACAACCGCACTCCCAACAGCTGTCTTGTCCTTTCCCATTCTTTCTGCCTCTTTTATCTTCAAACCCATCCGCCAGAGTGCCAGGACATCGGAAGGACGAGAGGACCCACAGAATGTAAGATGCAGCCCATTCACCAAACCATTCCTATCACTCACCGCCCACTCCGCCCTCGCCCATCGACCTACTTCCAGATCCCCAACCCCCTGAAAAAAGAAAAAGCCAGAAACAAATAACCTTAACAATGAAAAAAAAGAAAAACAGAGAGAGACCCATGGAAACCTAGTACCTTCTAAGCCACCCGATGTGTTTTGCAATCGTTCAAAACCTTGAAAGAAGGGATGTCCAAACAAACGACCTACTTGGATGTTCCGCCAAGAAAGTTATTGGTTAGCCATTTGGGGTATAACCCCGTAATAACAAGGTTAACCCCACTCAGCGGGACTTATAATTGGGTTATAACCTCGGTTGCCAACAACTTGCTAACTTGGCCGAACACCCAAGCACAGTGGTCCCCCATACCCGGCTCCGACTCCGTGCGCTCGCCCGACTGGGAAACCACCCCAAAAAGGGTACCTCCGAAGAGCAACCCCCCTTTTGGTACAAGGGAAGCCAAAAAGGAAACCACCCATAGGCGGGCCGTATTTTTCGTTTTAAAGGACAACCAAAAGTGGCAAATTTGGGACCCCCTTAAACAAAAATGGCGCGGCAAAACAATTTTGGGCAACACATTCCGTCCACCCTCAAATCCAACATCCATTTGGAGGAAACCAGTTCTTGGTGTCTCATCCAAAATCCGGCCTCCTCGTGCTTTTAACAGTTATATATATTTTGGGGTGGGGGAGTGGAGAGATGGACGGGCTATTGGGGTCCGGGTGGCGGGTGGGGGTTGGTGGGTCTTGTTCTCTTTTTTTGGGTGGGTGGGTGGGTGGGTGGGTAGGTTGTTTAGGTTATTTTAAAACACGAGAGCCACAAGACCTCCCCTCACTCCGGACCCCGTCCACCTCTCCGCCCACTCCGAGACCACCACCAATCCCCCCTCCGAGGCGCATGGCCTTGAAGCTGAGGAAGTCCTCCGCGCCCAGCAGCTGCTCCGCCAGCGTGCGGTGCAGCGCCGCGGAGCAGAGGCCCTGCAAGCAGAAGGCCTCGAAGCCCTCCTCGCTGATGGCCACCTGCGCCGGCAGCAAGGAGCGGGCGGGGGGAGCAGCAAGTGGGAGGAGGGGTGGAGTCGAAGAAGGAAAAGCAACAATTTGGGAAAGGAAACGAGTGGGCGGTGATGCTGGATGAAATGTTTACATATACAAATACTTGTAATACAAAATATATCTATGTATATATTTTAGTGCTCCGGGTCTAAAATGCTGGTCGTTGCCCTTTTCATCCACCGCTTCGTTCGGCTAATGTTGAGGATGCTTGCGGACCCAAGCATCCCTCTGGGTTCGGTGAAAACTTTCCTCAACGGCGGAAGAAGCGGTCCCTATCTAGGTGGCTCGTCTGTTTTTGAAATCGGACCGCAAAAATGGCTTTGGTTTTCCTTCTGGCTTCCGTTTAAACCAGCCAATAAAGGGGGCTGCCAACTGTAAAAATACAGACCCATATTCCACTTTTAAGCCCAACTTTTCGGACCACTAGCTGAGTTTCCACTCGGGGTGATGCTTAAGCGGCAAACGTACGGAGCCCTCTGGTTTCCTCTACAAGTAAAGGGCAAAGGAAAATCAAGGCTCGGACCCCCAAGCAAAACCTGGTGAGGTCGGGGCCGTGCCAGGCTTTTTGGAAAAGAGAAGCGTAGTATGTTGTTTTTGGAGGGGCTAAAGAGCACCCGAGTGCGGGGTGAATGTTTGAAGGGTTGTTGTTGTTGTTCTTCAAAGAATTATTGAAAGCCCTCCCCTTACTTCCTTGATGTCTCCTACCTCAGCTTTTGCCCCCGACCAAAACTTCGTTTCGACAGAGATCCCCTTCTTCTTCTTCTTGCTCTTGGGTCCAACCCCCCCCCCACTTGTCGCGCCAGCGCGGGACGCAGGCTTCCCGCCCGGCCTCCTCGAGGTGGGACTGCAGGAGCTGCGACACCAAGTCCCGGTAGGCCATGTGGCACCGCATCTGCTCCAGCGAGCACTCCTCGGCCTGCGAGCCGAACGCGAGACCTGAGATCCGAGCAGCTGGGCGCAAGGAGTCGGTCGAGGGTGTGTGACCACCAGCTTTGGGCGGGTCTTTGTTTGGAGGCATCGGACCCCTCAAGATGGTGGCGTTCCTTTTGGTTTCCCGTTCAAACCTACCAAAACAAAGGGTGTACCCTCAAAAAATGGCACAGTCAAGGGGCATGGAGCTAAAATCCCGGCCATTTGTGATCTCAAGGAGCTTTGGTCTTTTCACCAGAGTCATCAAAAACCTGGTACCAAAATGGTCTACCCTGTGTCTACAAGTGACAGGGCGGCCACCCCGTACCCTTCTACCCGGGTTTTGACGGTGGCTCTACTTGGTGAAAACGGTTGATCGCCTTGAGGCAAACCTTCAGGCCTGAGAATGGGCTCGTTCATTTCTGTCTTTTTCAGCGGACCCCCCAAACTTGGCTGGTGTTCCTTTTGCTCCCCTTTAACGCCAACCAAGAAGGCGTTCCATGAAAACGGATACTCCCTCCATATTAGACAAAACTGCAAGCTCTGGGGAACACAGCGCCTCGTCAAAGAGATCGGCGTGTCGGTCCACGAACTCACTGATCCTGGGGTATCCACGCGAGAACGTGACACTAACGTTCTCCAAAAGGGAGCTACCACGGAAGGTGGCTGATCCCGACATTGTCCCACAGAAACAAGTAAAAGGCTTGGGCTGAAATTTGAGGCAAACCATTCAGGTTTTGGCAAACCCAATCATGTTGGGTGCCTGAGTCTTGCCAGAAACACCATCCAATTCAGAGGATGCCCTCGCAGGCCTGGGTGCCGGCATCTCTGGGTTTCATGGCCTCAATGCTGCCTGCCATTTGATTTTTCACTGCTTAATTCCCAAAGACGCGACTTGATCTCGTGCTTCAACATCCTGCTAAATGAGTCAAGTCTCACGGTTGACCCATATCAGCATTCCTTGTAGCGGAGCCTTTCCCAACATTCAAAGGATTCCCCTCACATCCTCTCTCGAGGTTGTCTCCCAACCTCATTGGCCGAAGGCGGGCTTTATGGTCAAAAGGCCTGCTTGGTTTCACCTCTGAGGCTACGAATCCAGCTATTGTTTGTAGCCCGGCCAAAAGGAACATACGCCGCGTCAAACCAATTTGTTGCCACGCATCTTGGAGTATGTCCCATTTGGGGTATGTTAGCAGGAACTCAGATACTGAAGCCCTGCCTAGCATTTCCATTGAAAGCAAGACATTTGCCAAGGAGACCTTGGTCCCTTGAAGGGGCGCCATGCCTATAGTTTTCACTAGGGAAAACAGCCGGCCCCTGTCCGCGCGGAACAAAACGAAGAACGGCCCACCATTCAGACTCTCTCCATGTAGCAGTCCATGTCTGGGCAAATTAGAATAACTTTCTTAAACCAGAAATAAGAATACCAAAAGAAAGGGAGCTTGATCATGGGTGAGCTCGTGTAAGCCCCAGGTGAGCGCCTTCAAGCATTTGCCCAGGTCATGAAGCTGTGAAAGCTGCTCTGAGGGACAACTCATTAACCCGAAGTGACCCGGTGTTTTGGACATGGCGCGTGTATCAGAATCATAGGCCGACAAAGACACCACACAACATATCGTCATGTTTGCACAACCCGCCCTTTGTACGATGTTGGAGAACTTTGGCTGATACTGTGGATGGACGAAATCCTGCACCACATAAGAAACCCTGGAATGATGATTCACCTGTAAATACCAACAAACGTGATGGTTTCCCATGGTTTCAAAGTGCTGCAGGATTTCGTCCATCCACAGTATCAACGAATTAACACATTCCCGCACTTGAGAGGCGGATGAACGAAAGCTCGCCAGCCCAACAACGACAGGAACTTTTTTATTACATCAGGCATCGTGGGAAGCTCAGCCCCTAAAACGAAGTTAAAGCTTAGAGAGCTCCCGCTGGCACAGCTAGCTTTCGTGATTAGCCTCTCAAAACTACTGCTACCCTCCTGTCCACTAACGTGGGAGTGAGAGGCGGGTCCTACGGTTGTAAAACAAGAGGATAACTGCTCCCACCCAAAACTGCAAAACCGCAGCTGGAAGTCGGCACCATCCAAGTCGGTGACTTCAGAACTCCCAGGACATAGTCAGACAGCCAGCCCAGCTCCGCCATCGCCAGCGAGCAAAGAGCAACACGTGACGCACGCGCACTGGTGGCGACGCTGCACTCCAAATAAGCCAAAGCTGAGACCAAGCCCCGCATGAAAGCGCAATTCACAAGCCTCTTACAGAGGTCCTGCAGAAAATCGTCAAAAACAGACGCTAGGCCTTAGATTTCCCCCTGATTGCAGCATCTAGATTGCCAGAAAAGAATGAGTCCCGCAAGGACCCTCTGAGCACAGCAGCCTTGCTGCGCAAAACAACGAAGCACCACCACAGATGTGCTGAATGCGTATGTGCGGGTGGGTCTGTTTTCTTTGGATTTGTTTCGAAGGGAAACAAAAGGGAACACCAAGCAATTTAGTGGCCACGTTGTTCAAGGCAAGCCCGCGGTCTCAAATGCCCTTTCGTCTCGATTTCAACGGGCAACGTAGCTGTAGACTTGGTGCAAGTGTGGAAGTCCAAAGTCTGCACACATGGACAAACTGCGTCCTTCCGGCCAGACTGCAAGTCCTCTAACGCATAGCTGAAACTCACTGGAACGACACCCACGCTGTGGAATAAAAACGCGAGGCTGGAAACACAAACAACTTGGACCAAGTCTGGGGCACGAAACAGAAGCCACCTTTGCTGCTTGGCCTCTACCGGCTGTCTGCCCACCTGAACTCGCACTTCGATCATTGCCTGGTTGGCTTCGCGATACTCCTTGAGCACCATACCGCAGCACACCTGCAATCTGTGAGACAGCAAGCAAGGCTGCGAGAACTGAGCTGAGATTTGGTTTGACTCCCTGTCAAACGTCTGCCTCATCCGTCAACCAGATCTCTACGTCCAACGTCCGTCTGGTTGGGCTGACTACTTAGATGTTACTACTCAGGTTTTCCTCCGTGATCTGACGAAGGACATAAAAGGGCGTCCAGGAAGTTGCCCATACGGAGCCCACCCTTGGCACCGACGAGAAGACACATGTCAACGTCTCTGATAACTCTTGGATACACCGCCTGCGGCTACTTATTTGGGCTGAAACAACCGTAAAACAAGCCTGAAACACACTTACAATGGTGAAAAGTGCTCACAAAAGCCCTAAGGTCCTAAGTCGGGACAAGTCACTTCTGCCCGTTCACTTCAAACCACGTTTTCCTGTCTGCTTGAGCCAGTGGGCTTGGCTCCAAAGGGCTCCTCATCCCACCTGGGGTTGCTTCAGAAAAACCAAAAAACATGCCATAGCCTATGGCCGACAAAAACAAACGACGGGAGGACATGGGGAGGTGCTCAAAAGGTGCCGCCTTGTGCATGCAAGCTTTCCAGTCAAGCGCGGCATTCTTCGTGCCTTCTCCACCTTGGCCAGGACGTCAGAGCCAAGCGCCTAGTCGCAAACTTGATCTGCAAAAACACCTTGAAACATCCAGAAACATCCTGGAGTATCCCATGTTTTCCCATGCGTTCCCATGATTTTCCCGTACATCCAAGCAACAACACCTTGAGCATCCCATGTTTTCCCGTACTGAAACATCCATAAACATCAACTATCCCAAAAGAACCTGTACAAGTGTTCCTCATCCAAAAACATTGCTCCAGGATTATCCCAAATTGTCTTGCACTGGTCAAGCATCCAGGACAAACATCCACAAACATTGCTCCTGGATTCTCCCAAACTATCATGTATCCTCCCTACACTTGTGTTTGATCTCCCCCACAAGTATCCCAGGTTGCTCTTGGTACCCTGACCGTGCGGAGGCCCTGCAGCGCGCTCTAAATGACTCAATCAAAATGAGGGAGGGGGAGTTTTGGAGGGATCCCAGCACCCTTGACGTTCGATTGAATTCAGATTGAGGATCATCATTGTGAATAGTTAAACCTCAAAATGAGGGATCATAATCTCAGTTGCCAAAAAGACCCAGAAGTAAAAGATTAACCTTTTGGGGCCACTAGAATTGGACTGAAAAGGGGAACCAAAAGGTCAGAAGGTCTCTGGCAAGTGTGTCATTAAGCATTGAGGATTGGTTTGGAAGCCGGTAAAATTCAGTGCCCGGTTGGCAAAACCTCCAACAGTTGAGAGTAGCTGCTCAAAATCGGGCGACACACCTACAAACGCTGCTTGGTGTCATTTTATCCGCCTGAGATGGATTTGCCTGCGGCAAAGGGAAGTCCCGCCTTTTCGTTGGAAGTTGACCTTAAAATGGTAACTTTCAACAACAAAAAACATGAGAGCATTGGGATGAACCACGGCGACGCTCTCTTTTGCAGGAACATCTCAAGGCGGCTCATCTGACAGAACTCGGACATGTTAAATCTGGGGCCAACATTCACGCTCCAAACTGGAAACCCACAAATGCTCAAAAGTTTGGCGGGGGTTCGTCAAAGCCATCCAAGAGGGCATGCATTACCCCAAACCACTATCCGACAAACGAAGGAACCAACCAATGCCCATTGGAATTCGTGGTTTGGGGGCAGAGTGGGGAGTTCTCAAAATGATGGGGCCCATGATGGGGCCCGAAAAGGGATCCCTGATGGCTGCACAATTACACCTCTGGTTCTTCCAGTCTGAAATCCGGTGTAGCACCCACAACCCTAGTCTGATTGTTTCATGGCCCAAGGGCATGATGCACTTTGCAATGACCCCGAAACAAGACACCTCGGGCTTTGGGACAGGGATCCGCTGTCGAACTCAAAAGCTGTGCTCGTCGCTCGCCTGGTCCTTCAGAAGCTTCTGCAGGGCCTTCACCGACTTCTTGGTCTGCTGCATGGCCACTTGAGACCTCATATACTTCAGCGTGGGGAGCAAGGCAATCCCCCCAAAACAAAACAACAAGCAATTTAAACCATGGGTGTATCACTCACTTACCAGTAAGTTTCTTGGCATGCACCGTACCCGAGTTGACTTGAACTGCTTGGCCCTTGGCTGAAATGATAAACAAACTTGCCCAAGAACGTTCCAGGTTGGCGAAATCAACTGGTAAGAATCTTACCAATGAGTTGGCGTAATCTGATTAGGTTCTTCCAGTTTTCTGGGTCACCTAGAGTTCTTGGAAGACGAGAATCGGGTACCTGTCTGTGTAGGATACGTCCTTCAAAACGTGTCGTACGTTTTGAAGCGGGGCAAAACCTCGGAGTTGGGGCAGGCTCCTGCTATGCCTGGCCAGTCCCCAAGTATTCCCAGCTGCTCTCGGGTGTGGTTCCCCATGAAATTACAAGTTGCCCTTGGTTTCCCTTGAGCACCCGAAAATGGACCCTCAAAACAAAGCCAGACCCGTGTCGCCAAGCTGCAAGGTCCCTTTCCGAAGGCCCCGAAGGCAAATGAGATGAATCAACCAGAAAACGAGGTTGGCACGCTCAGCGGCCCTTTCAAGCCTGCCACCTTCCAGTGACCAGGTCTACGGGCCGGGGTACATCCAGTGAGCGTGCATGGAACCTGAGTTCTATCACTGGGGTGGCGAACCCCACTCGCCTGGGTGTACACTCATTGACATGGGTGTGTGTCAAGATAGGGGGAACCCCAAAACGTGCGGTTGTTTTTGTTTTTTCCATTTAAATCAACCTGGGCCTAAAAAGGGCACCCTCAACAACAATACGAAGGCTTCGCCCAGTTTGCCGGTCGCGCTTCGTGGTATCAGAGAACCCCAAAAACGCCCAGGTGCAAGCCCTCGACCTGCGACAGACCAATCGTGGCCCCGGAAAGAAACTTCGCAGATCAATTCGTGGCGTGTTCACCCAAATAGGCGGACCACCTTTAAGTCGGGGCCGCCTAGTAATCACCAATTGGGTCATGCATGGCCAGGCAACCTTGTCTCGTAGCGCGGCGCAAAACGCAAGTCATGTGTGTGCGGAACGGAAAGAAACCAACCGACCCACAGGGAGCTGGCCTCTTGCCCGGCCTCAGCACGCCTTCGGCGCCACCCGCAGCCGCCGCCGCCACGGCGCGCCGGTCTGCAGCCTCCACTCAGGCTGATGTTTCCCGCTCTAAACTGGCACGCCCCTGTGCCACGAGAAAGCCACTACAAAGGAAACGCGCGCGACCTGGTGACAGGTTGTGGGTGGAGGGGCAGCAGGTCCTGTGAGGGAGCTCACACCTCTTTGCCAAACGCGTTTGGCTCAGGATCCGTGCGGTTAGAGTGAGAGACGAAAGGGATTGGATTGTGAGACATCTTCCCCTTGCAAGCCTTACGTCTTGATCCGTTTGAGAGAGTGTTCTTGGGGGTTCCCGCCTTCTGGAACGCTACTTGCGCATCCCCGACAATAAACTCAGCCGAGTTGGGGGAAAAGAAATCGGGGCTTCTTGAAGATTCCCGAACCGGAGAAACGAATGCACACAAGCATCGGACCTTCATCAAGGGTGAGCTCGTTCAACAACTCGTCTACACCCCAGAATCATGCAAGCCATCGCGACGTAACGCGACATAATTCACAAACGAACCACGACGAACACTGCGCCAACCCAAGAATCAAGGGAAGCAAACAAACATAAAACGGACAGGCGAAGAACGAATAGACAAACAAGCCAAAACACAAAGACAGACACACAGACGGACGGCCGGCCGTCCAGCCAGGAAGGCAAGCAAGCAAGCCGGGCAGCGGGTCCACAAACTCACTTCTTGAGTGGGACCATTGGTTCCTGTCTTGTGGCGACGCTTGCTTGCCACGTGGCGCAGCACTTAAGTTCAGAGCTTGCGGCGTGCCTGTATTGGCGAGCTGCTGTTCTCCAAGATGCATACAGTGACGTCAACAACGCTGAATAGTCCACTGTGCAGAGACGGCGGTTGTTACTCGCGTTGGTTGGCAGGCAAGTCTATGGGTATTCGGTATTCCGAAAATAAATTGATTCTGTGATATCTGGTGACTCAACCGCACAGTTGACCTAGAGGCGCGTTGAAGGATGCCGCTGCGTGTTGCTTCCTTCCCAAAGGAAGCCTCCAAAATCCGCAGCTTGCCAAGAGCAAATATACAAACTAGATCAATGAGCAGATACACACGCACACAGAGACACACACGCACCCACCCACCCACCCACCCACC